TCAGTATGTGGTCTGGCATTGTCATCAAGCAGTACTCCTTTTTACTCAGCAGGCCTGGACGTTTTCAAAGAATTGTATCACAAAACAGACAGAACTTAACAGTATAATTCAACCTTCACCTTTTAAAATTTTTTTTAATTAATTGGTTCAAAGCACTCCTTGACAATCCAGAACACTATCAGCATAACCTTCCCCGCTGATGGCGCTACTTTCAATTTGTGAAGGCATGGGGAAAAAGAAGGATGTTTCCATTGCACTGAAGCATGCTTCAATTCAGACTGGTAGTGATGCAAGCAGGATTCGTCTACAACATGTCTTCTCTGTCATCTGCAGCGATGCTGCAAGGACAACCCAAATCTGTTCATTTTGTGTTCGTCCGTTAAATGTTTGGGTACCAACTGTGCACTTTCTTAAATTGCATACGATCATGCATTATAGTGAATGTTGAACCATGTGAGCACCCTATTGCAGCTGCTACACTTCAGATCCCCCAGTTCTGAGAAAATCGGATCCTACAAAATGTAATGCAACATCAGATGCTAGTGGTCATACCACAGCTGGCATGCTTGCTCAACAATATGCAGGAAAACTTCTATCTGTGATTTACATGTCACAAAAGTTGAACTCAGCTCAACAATATGCAGGAAAGCTTCTATCTGTGATTTACATGTCACAAAAGTTGAACTCAGCTCAACAATATGCAGGAAAACTTCTATCTGTGATTTACATGTCACAAAAGTTGAACTCAGCTCAACAATATACAGGAAAACTTCTACCTGTGATTTACATGTCACAAAAGTTGAACTCAGCTCAACAATATGCAGGAAAGCTTCTACCTGTGATTTACATGTCACAACAGTTGAACTCAGCTCAACAATATGCAGGATTGCTTCTACCTGTGATTTACATGTCACAACAGTTGAACTCAGCTCAACAATATGCAGGATTGCTTCTATCTGTGATTTACATGTCACAAAAGTTTAACTCAGCTCAACAATTTGCAGGAAAGCTTCTATCTGTGATTTACATGTCACAACAGTTGAACTCAGCTCAACAATATGCAGGAAAGCTTCTATCTGTGATTTACATGTCACAACAGTTGAACTCAGCTCAACAAAAGTATAAAACGTTTGAAAGAGAAGCTTTGGTACTAGACATGTTTGGCACAGTGTGTAGTTACAGCTGTGTCATAATAGAGGTGGGACCATCTCACGTCAGAACTCAGAGATTGTTTGCTGAGGACTACCACAATCTTTTGACATTGTTTGTTCATGCAATATTTATGTAACTACATTGGACTTGAGCCTGTACTTCAGGACAGAGATCCAGGGAAACCACAAGTCGAGTACCTAGGTGTCTTGATAGAGTCTGGTGTTCCAGCCTGATTGTATCTCAAGCAAACGCAGCCACCTTGGCGCTCCTGTGCCCGCGTTTAAAGCCAACGTAGACTGTGATGTGGGAGTCATCGTAGCCGAGGGACTAGACGCTCGCCGCAGATCGAAAGGTCGTGGGTTTGCTCCCTGGCGGAGCCGGACTTTTTTCAAAAATGACCTTGGTTCCTAGCCTTGCATGGGTACCGGGTGCAGTCCCGGGAAAGTAAAGACAGACGGTGTGATGCCGACTGGTCTATAAAAATATAGGTTTAGCCCTATACGCCTAAAGGCGTGGAAAGGGTCCTTTACTTTTACTAGACTGTGACGTCCACTTCACTTTTTGTCTCATCGTCTTCCACTGACAGGTGTGTAATAGTAAATTATGTTGTGTTTTTATTTTACATTGTTGTGTCCAGTATATATGGTTGGCAGCCGGAGACTCCATTACCATTTTGTGTATGATAAGTGGGCAGGTTGAGAGGTTACACATCTGAGCTGCCGCCTGTTCTACCATTGGAGTTACTAGCAGCCACAATCCCAGACCAGGATAGCTAGCCTGTTCTACCCTTGGAGTTACTGGCAGCCACAATCTCAGACCAGGATAGCTAGCCGGTTCTACCCTTGGAGTTACTGGCAGCCACAATCGTAGACCAGGATAGCTTGCCTGTTCTACCCTTGGAGTTACTGGCAGCCACAATCTCAGACCAGGATAGCTAGCCAATATATAATTTCATTATCAACATCGCCTCAACTTTACTAGCCTAAACAAGTTCATTTTATTTTTGGTTAGATTTATTCAATAAATCTGGATCATGTTTTTATAAAATAGTTGAGTAAATTGTGTACTTAGGTTCAAGTGTCTTTGTGCATATTAGTTTACTTCAGCTAACAAATATTTAAATCACTTGATGGGGGCTTTTAAGTAATGCCAGGAGAGGAGAACAGTCGGAGGGGTTAACTGAGTATCCTGATATTATCTCAGTGGGTTCATCTTGATCTCTATCTATCCCTTCTCCTACTCCTGTGAATACAAGTACAGCAACTTTCATTTCATGGAACGAGCCACTCGCTGTTTTCTTGGCTATCCAGGACTGTCTAGGATCAACATAGCTTAGATATTAGTCCAGTTTCTCACGTGGGTGGGCATTGTTAAGGATCAAACCCAAACATCACTATATCAGTGTATTTACCCACGTGGGCGTGCGACACAGCCACAATCTCAGACCAGGATAGCTAGCCTGTTCTACCCTTGGAGTTAGTGGCAGCCACAATCTCAGACCAGGATAGGTAGCCTGTTCTACCCTTGGAGTTACTGGCAGCCAAAATCTCAGACCAGGATAGCTAGCCTGTTCTACCCTTGGAGTTACTGGTGCCACAATCTCAGACCAGGATAGCTAGCCTGTTCTACCCTTGGAGTTACTGGCAGCCACAATCTCAGACCAGGATAGCTATTGTGTCTCCGTCAGGCTTTGTTTTTAGTCCTGAACGTTTAGTTTGTTAACGTTAGCTAATATCTCAGACCAGGATAGATAGAGTGTCTCCGTCAGGCTTTGTTTTTAGTCCTGAACGTTTAGTTTGTTATCATTAGCTAATATCCAGTGTACTTTTAGTCCATTTTTCTAGGAGTTAGACTTCACCGCGTATAGTGTACTTTGTTTATTCGTCGCATAGTCATGTCATATTGTTTTCAGAGGCATGGTGACATCATATCAATTCATTTTCATTTCTATAATCTGATACTAACAGAATAAAATATCAGTCACAAAACCTGTAAATATGGCAAAAGAAGTAGTTTTGAAACCTGAAAATATTGTAAGTTTAGCAGAAACTAGAATGAAAGAGCTAGCGGAGAAAGAAGCCAATGAGATACACGGGTGTATCACGATGCTCCCCAGGCATAAGCATGCCTAACAGACAAGTGATCAGATAGTGTACGTATGTCTGTTGTGTTTACCAACACTGCCAGTGATTCAACAACTTCAATACAATCATTGTTTATTTATTATAGGAAAAAAAAAAACCAATATCAATTTAATCACATAAGTGCAACCGTAAGTTCGTTTAAACAACGATGACGAGCACTCCAGTAAAGGTTACTGTGACATATGTTGAACACCGGGCTATTACTGTTATCGACTTGTCTATAAAGTAAAGTCTCTTCTGTCACGTAGTAGAATTTATCTTGTTTCTGTTATTCTGAAATTCTGTTATTTTCTTATTCGTTCATAAATTGCTCTCTTCACAAGCCCAAGTACTTCTGGTCTCCCCCAGCTTCAACGCCTGAGACCTGACTCTCTATTTTAACAGCCCTCACCAACTCTCCCGTTCTCTTCCTCGCGTGGGTGATCTGTCACGTCCGACACCCCTCAACCTGACAGCCATTTTATTTGTTTGACCTGGCTTCCACCTGGTTTCTAGAAGCCTCTGCTATCTCCCCAATTCCTGACACCCAACCACCTGTTTATCTTCATCCTTAGATTGTTCTCAGCTGGCCCAGTCTTATCTCCAGCCTGACCTGCACCCTGTAGTCACTGTTCGATGTTCCCCTATCTGACGGCAAGATTCATGTCCTGCATCTCGTGTGGCATTCCTTGACAAGCGCTTGTGCAGCTGTTATGCCATTCAGCCATGGATTGGCGTGTGCTGATGCTGGTCTCAATGTATACATTCTTCATTGTACTTGGCTCAGCACTCCTAATCACTGTTATACTACACAAGCCAGGGAGGAGAGAGCAGCAGAACAATCTAATCAGAAAGATATAGTTGAGATTCATAAAGCTCTACAACTTGCATTAGTAGAAAAAGACAAAGAGCTAGCACTTTCAGAAACACTGGTTTGGGATAAGGGATGGAACCACTTAAACAATGGTGCCAGTAGGTATAAGCCAGAGCTATCTTTCCTAAACCAGATGATCATCACACAGGTATACCAGAGAATCAGTGGGTATCATGATTTTTTGATCTATTAAAAGGTAAAGTTTTAGTCATGTTTGGGTATTTGTGGCCAACATCTGTTCAGTATTGCGCAAAAATGAATGCAGACACTGTTTGGTGGCCAACATCTGTTCAGTATTAGACAAAAATGAATGCAGACACTGTTTGGTGGCCAACATCTGTTCAGTACTACACAAAAATGAATGTAAAATGTTTTGTGGCAACATCTGTAAACTACTACATAAAAATGAACATAGATATAATGTCTGTTGTCAAAGTCTGTACACTGCTATACAAAAATAAATGTAAACTGGGAGAAAACATCCATAAACTTAACAAAACCCCCCAAAAAATGAATGCAGACAGTATCTGGTGCCAAAATCCTCACACTTCCACACACAAATGAATACAGATAAACTTGACAGTAACAATACAAACAGTTTCCAACTAACAGGAAAAATATTTGTTTCACGTTCAACAACAAACAAAGATATCTCTTTAGAAAAAATAATTTGAAAAAAAAATTTTGGATTTTAGAGGAAAACAAAGCATTAAAAACAAGAATGAAAATATGGTCAAGCTGCATATCAAAATGTTGAAAAGACAAAGAAAAGAAGTGGAGACAGACAAGGATTTGGATGGCCTGAGAGTTAACAAACAATATTCCACGACTGATGAGGTTGTAGACAAGCACTAGATGCCTTGAGGTGGACTCAACAAAGCTCCCCGACTGCTGGGATTGTCTTGAGTCCATGAGCGGAAAATATCTTCCATTTTCTTGCGTACTGCAGGACTACCGTTGTTGACAGTGGGAATGATTTTCTTTGGCTGGACAAACTGGATGAAACGCTTCAGTTCCAGGTAACTACTGTGCTCACTGTAAGGAATGCCTACAACAACAGGTAGAATAGACAGGCATCATACCACACATGCAAAGTGCAAACAACTGTGAAAACATCACATCATGTGTGCAACCAAATGTAACAACATCACATTACATGTGCTAAAAATATAACAACAACACATCATGTGTAACAACAGTCACCCCCACAGTGAACAAGGCAACCTAGCAGAGACATCCATGGTTACAAGTGTCAACGAGGAAATCAACTGTTCAAGGTCAGCAAATTGTTATACTGGCAATGGTTAAAATATTGCTTTCCATGATCCTTACTAGTCAGTTAGTTATCTTCTTATGCCACTTGCACAATCTACCCACACTCTGTCACTTGCACAATCTATCCACCTCTCTGTCGCTTGCACAATCTAACAATGTCTCTGTCACTTGCGCAATCTATCCATCTATCTGTCGCTTGCACAACCTATCCACCGCTGTCGCTTGCACAATCTATCCACCTCTCTGTCGCTTGCACAATCTATCAATGTCTCTGTCACTTGCACAATCTATCCATTACTCTGTCACTTGCACAATCTATCAATGTCTCTGTCACAATCTATCAATCTCCCTTTCACTTGCACAATCTATCAAGCTCCCTATCACTTTCACAATCAATCCACTTCTCTGTCACTTGCTCAATCTATCCACTTATGTCACTTGCACAATCTAACAATTGCTCTGTCACTTGCGCAATCTATCTATCTGTCTGTCACTTGCAAAATCTATCCACCTCTCTGTCACTTGCACAATCTATCAATCTCTCGGTGACTTGCACAATCTATCAAACTGTCTGACACTTGCACAATCTTTCAATCTCTCTGTCATTTGTATACATATAAGTAACTAACTTGTACAATCTGCCATTATCTGTGTGTAGGTATCTAGGCTATACAATCTACAATCATTTTCCAAGAAATAGGTAACTAGTCTATAAATCTACAATCAAGTGCAAGAAATATAATTATCTACGATGTACAATCTACAATCATTTAAACATATTAAGGTATCTAAGTACAATCTAAAATCATGAACACAGGCTGAACAATCTTAAAATATGTGCACACACACAAGTATCTAGACTGCACAATCTATAATTATGCGCACACATATAGCTATCTAGATTACAATCATTTACACACATGTAGGTATCTAAGCTATAAAATCTACAATAATTTACACACAGATAGGTATCTAGGCTGCACAATCCATAATCATGTGCACACATACAGGTAGATATCTAGGCTGCACAATCCATAATCATGTGCACACATACAGGTAGGTATCTAGGCTGCACAATCCATAATCATGTGCACACATACAGGTTCTAGGCTGCACAATCCATAATCATGTGCACACATACAGGTTCTAGGCTGCACAATCCATAATCATGTGCACACATACAGGTTCTAGGCTGCACAATCCATAATCATGTGCACACATACAGGTTCTAGGCTGTATGGTCTACAATCATTTACGCATATGTAAATAGGCTGTATATTCTCAAATTATAAGCACACAAACAGATATCTAGACTACAATCATGTGCACATGTGTAGGTATACAGGCTGTACAATCTACAAATATTTTCACACATGTAGGTATTCAGGATGTATAATCTACAATCATGTGCACATACACAGGTTCTAGGCTGTACAAACTACAATTTTGTGCACAAATGTAGACATCCAACAGAAAATCATCAGCACTTGTAGCATCTAACCTGTAAGACAATCATCTGCAAAAATGTAGCACTTAACTTGCTCAATAACTGAGGAATGTAGAAAGATGTTTACCATAAAGAGTCACATTGTTGCGGCTCCACTTGGGGCCCAGTCTCTCCAGGGATACCTTACTACTGTGGCTCCAACCAGTTGGCTCTAGAGCCAGCACAGAGGTAAACTTGGGGTGACGTGCATGGTGCTCAAAAAGTGCCTGCAATAAAATGCTAAAACTATACTACAGGAAAGAAGACTGAACAACACCCTAGGTAAACTTGGAATGACATGCATAGTGCTTAAACATGGCTTACAATAGAATGTTAGTGCTATGCCCCATGTAAACTTGGAATGACATGCATAGTGCTTAAACATGGCTTACAAGAGAACAGAGCTATGCCCCATGTAAACTTGGAATGACATGCATAGTGCTTAAACATGGCTTACAAGAGAATGTTAGAGCTATGCCCCATGTAAACTTGGAATGACATGCATAGTGCTTAAACATGGCTTACAAGAGAACAGAGCAATGCCCCATGTAAACTTGGAATGACATGCATAGTGCTTAAACATGGCTTACAAGAGAACAGAGCAATGCCCCATGTAAACTTGGAATGACATGCATAGTGCTTAAACATGGCTTACAAGAGAATGTTAGAGCTATGCCCCATGTAAAATTGGAATGACATGCATAGTGCTTAAACATGGCTTACAATAGAACAGAGCTATGCCCCATGTAAACTTGGAATGACATGCATAGTGCTTAAACTTGGCTTTCAATAGAATGTTAGAGCTATGCTAGAGGAGAGAAGATAGAACAACAGTTCATCCAAACTTGGGGTGACATGGACGGTGCTTAAACATGAATGTTAGAACCATGCTACAGAAAAGATCATATGACAGAACCAGGCCAAACACTCATTCAAATGTGTCAAGTTATTTCTCCACCTATGAATTCTCACTTCTCCCATTATCCAGTACAGATGTCCACCAAACTTTTCTGTGTGGGTTCCCAGGCCCCAGGTCAAACACTCATTCAAATGTGTCAAGTTATTTCTCCACCTATGAATTCTCACTTCTCCCATTATCCAGTACAGATGTCCACCAAACTTTTCTGTGTGGGTTCCCAGGCCCCACTAGAGTGGGCAGTCAACACTTTGCTGACCAACTTTAAAGATTGTCAAATCTGGCCATATACCCTGGTGACCAACTTTGACGATCGTCGAATTTGCAACATGTAGTCTGCGGACCAGGGTCCCTATAAATTGTTTTTTTTATTGAGCTGAATCCGAGTGTTTTTTTAAGTATTCCAAGATGGCTGTGCGCACGGTCAATACCAATCTGAGGCGATACAAGCATTGTTTTCAGTTAAATTTTGATAATATTCGTTACCAGCCTTTTATATAATGTCTGACAACGAAAACCAGACCAGTAGTATCGATTTTTCGAAATCTGCTGCGCTGAAAATGATCATTCCTGTAAATGCCAATAGCAACTGAAAGCAGTGACAATGATGACAGACTTGACAACAGGCTTGATGTAGGTGCATCTGAAGACAGCAGTGACAACGATGACAGACTTGACAACAGGGTTGATGTAGCTGCATCTGAAGACAGCAGTGGACGTAGAACAAGAGACCAGAACATTTCTACAGCTGAAAATGCTGTTTGTAAATGCAGAAAGGCTGCTCAAAATAAACTTGTTAGTTTAGCTTGACAATCTTCTTCCATACAAAAGAGCAATAAGGTGCCATGTCAGACACAGTTGGATGCCCGCCTATTGATTTTTTGAAGAGAAACCAATTGAAACTGAAAAAGGCAAATCATCCTGTTTTGTGTGACAAAATATAAAGGCATCTTGGCTGTTACCTGTTAGGACACTCAAGAGAGTTCACCTGATATCTACTGTTTACTTCAGTGCTGTTATAGACAAGACAGGAAAAGTGGAATTCTTGAGAGCAAAATCATAAATAAGCCAGTTCTTGCAGAAAAATACAGCAACAGTACAAGATGGGGGGGGGGGGGGGGGGGTGTTTGATCCCTTTGGCCAGCTGGGTGCAAATTACCCCCTACCTACCAAGATCCTATAATTGGTACCTGCCATTATATTATTTATTTATTTTTAGATGCCACTGCTCTGGTCAATAAGCAGATAAGCTACAACACTGCCAACTCTGTATAAGGTTGCAGCCAAGAGGTTCAGGCAGGATATCAATCTTGCTGTTATTAGACCTGCTGTTCTTGGACACAGTGTCACACCTTCAAGACAACACACATCACAGAATAACGTGAGCGCCACTTTTATTTTAAATATAAAAGCCAATGTACAAACCAGACTGTTAAGTTTGGAAGGCTGCAGATAAAAGGAGCTAGACTTGCATATACTGCCCAGATTGCAATACACCTCTATGCTTGATACCCTGTTCAAGCTATACCATACGGTTGAGGACTATCAACATTCCTGATAAAGACAGAGGGCTACTGTTACAGCTTCAACTCCAGTTAATGAAGGAAGTAGCTCAGACTTCAACAAGAGGAGCTTTTATAATCAAGCATTCACAAATGGGATGGGAAATTTGCAAAGCCTATATGGTCTTCCGCACTATATTAGGAGTGCCTTGAGGTGTTGATCCCATTAAGCTATATGGTGCTCACTGGGTACAACAACAGACAATGTTAATTAAATGTCTTTATGAAAGGTAAATAAAATACAATTTATCTAACAATATATCTATAGAATGGAAGAAGAAAAAATGCCAACTACCTGCTGGTTGAGCTTGCCCATAGGTAAGACATGAACTTGTGCTTGAGACCAGTCCAGTGTCAGCCTAGTCTGCAGCTCTGGATCATCCAGGCAATCAAGGACTTTCTTCTTATCTCTAGTGACACAAATCCGGCTTCTGAGTGCTTCAGCAATGGCTGCAACACAATATCAAAACAGTCATTATGTCATACTGTTATGGTAGATTTATCAATCAATGCATGTTTGAGTGAACTAAAACCCAAACATCCAGGAGTCTTATCAACCCACACATCCATGAGTACTTTCAAACCATACATCGATAAGTCCATCAGTCCACACATCCATGAATTTATTAACCTACACATCCATGAGTCTATCAATCCATACATCCATGACTCTTATCAACCCACACATACAAGATGACACAGACCTCTGATTTACTGTGACAGACAATCTATCCAAAACCACATTAAACTGAACACCCACAGAGCACACACTACAATCTTTAAGATTAACATGAGACGGTTGACGTCAGGAGATGTGGGTACTCTTACCCGATGCAATGTGGCTGTCTAAGGGTTGATTAAACTCGTCACATTGCTACACTGACGTTCTTAGTTACATAAAGTTACTAGGAATATACCAGATGACAAACACGTAGTTATTGATGTTTATTCGCTGATCTAACAGTCGCACTATCCAGTTGCTCACTTGCGTCCTCGTGGGTGCTGTGCATGGCTGATTTATGACAACAGTTCCAACTATCTCACACCGTGATTCTCTCTGCCATTACCTTTTGGATCATACACCTGGATCAGGCTCACATCTTGTTCCTTGTACATATACACAATCAAGACTTGCAGTCAGTAGACATTCATTTCTGTTCTCAAACAATTACACCTGGCCAGACGGTTTGCATTCCCCCCGTGTGGGTTCTGGGGCCCCATTGTGGGGAAAACAAGAATAGACCCACTGCCTCCCCAAAAGCATGTCGTAAGAGTCGACTAATTGGGAAGCTTCCTTTGAAGTCGGAGTGCATCTGCCGGTGAGGCAAGGAACCAACAGTCTGTATTCAAGAGAATGAGATCTGTAAAACTGATGCACACGCAACACTCAGGTTCTGGAGCAGGACTGCAGTTCAGTAGTGGACGAGCAACCAGAAACTTCCGCCAGAGTTTACAGCTGGTGAACGTGAAGAAGAAGAAGGTTTGCATTCTTCTCAGCTATTCTTTGCATTCGACCACACACATTCAGGTCAAAACTTCAACAGATTTCCTACACTCTCTGGGTTCACACCTTCCATTCTAGTCTCACACTTTCCACGTATCCCTATTCAGCCAACACAGTATATTCAAGGTATGCTTTGCATACTTTCGTCTTTTTTCACTGGTCCTCTGACCTTGTCTCCCCCATCGGGAACTCTCTGGGAGTTCCCTGGGAATTCACATTACACCTGAAATGCAGGCCGTGATGGCTTAACAAATCACCATGCACACCTTCCTGTCTCATTACATAATACTCGGGTCTAAACCCATACTGTTCCTGATAAACTCTTTTCCTACACCAGTGGACTCCATCAGGATTGTGCAACGACCATAAAGTGTGGGGAGGGGAGACAGTGTTCAGGAATAGACAATATCACAACAGCCAGTTCAAAACCAACCTGGCTATCAGAATAGCTCAACACCACTTACGTGACACATTACACAGAACACTGTGACTGTCAAACACTACAAAACCTAATGGGACTACGATACCCTAACGAAACACATAATTACAAGCTATCAGTCACTACAACATGCTAGAATTCTAAACCGTCACTTTATCAGATGTCTCCTATGTCAGGTCCGATATTCAACTCCACTTGTCCAATCTTTTCCATGGCTTTTTTTACAGTCCCACAGCTAAGCCAAGTCCAAGCGCAAGTCAGTCACACTTTATCGCTGTCATAAATTCATGGGGCTGAGCTGTGGTTCACCTATTGTCATCTGAGTACACACACATACTGTCACGATTCGACACCTATCCGTCATGCATGTACAAATAATGGACCGTCTCTATTCTACACTGTCCCATAACTGCACACATCAGACTTTGACACATGACTTTATCAACTCATACATCCATGATTCAATCAACCTACACATCTATGATTTTATCAACCCCCTTATCTGAGTGGGTGTAGTATATGCATCTCAACAACACAGTTATGTCGCCTAAAATATGCTGATTTATCTTGCCCATGACTTTATTGGTTACATTATTGTTTCACTAAGGCAATAAATAGCTGCGATTTTAAAATCGGAAAAGCCACCCATAAAAACTACCATGTGATTCTAGTAAACAACTATACATTTTCAGGCTGGAGCACCATGTGATTCTAGTAAACAACTATACATATTCAGGTTGGAGTACCATGTGATTCTAGTAAACAACTATACATATTCAGGTTGGAGTACCATGTGATTCTAGTAAACAACTATACATATTCAGACTAGAGCACCATGTGATTCTAGTAAACAACTATACATATTCAGACTGGAGCACCATGTGATTCTAGTAAACAACTATACATATTCAGACTGGAGCACCATGTGATTCTAGTAAACAACTATACATTTTCAGGCTGGAGCACCATGTGATTCTAGTAAACAACTATACATATTCAGGTTGGAGTACCATGTGATTCTAGTAAACAACTATACATATTCAGGTTGGAGTACCATGTGATTCTAGAAAACAACTATACATATTCAGACTGGAGCACCATGTGATTCTAGTAAACAACTATACATATTCAGACTAGAGCACCATGTGATTCTAGTAAACAACTATACATATTCAGACTGGAGCACCATGTGATTCTAGTAAACAACTATACATATTCAGGCTGGAGTACCATGTGATTCTAGTAAACAACTATACATATTCAGACTGGAGCACCATGTGATTCTAGTAAACAACTATACATATTCAGACTGGAGCACCATGTGATTCTAGTAAACAACTATACATATTCAGACTGGAGCACCATGTGATTCTAGTGAACTACATATACACGATTGAACACATTATAGTAAACTATACATATTCAGGCTGGAGAACCATGAGATTCTAGTAAACAACTATACATATTCAGGCTGGAGTACCATGTGATTCTAGTAAACAACTATACATATTCAGACTGGAGCACCATGTGATTCTAGTGAACTACATATACACGATTGAACACATTATAGTAAACTATACATATTCAGGCTGGAGAACCATGAGATTCTAGTAAACAACTATACAGAATGAACAAATGAATGAACAAAATTAATTTTCAAAGAGTTACAAATTGGGCACACAGGCCCGTCTTACATTCAGCTCTTCCAACCATTCATTTTTCAGACCACAACTGCGTGTTATCAATAATGCAGGTTATGTCTACATAAAAATATATATAATGAAAAAATACATACACACATATATTCACAATCATACACTAATAAAATACACATGTACACATACTCTATGTGCTCACACATACATACATACACATGTCCATCCATCCATACATATCTAATTCACTCCCTCACACATATTCATATACATACACCCATACATGAATACACAATACATACATATTCTTGTCGGAGAACCACACGATTCTATAACAGATTTTGGATGAAGCTATATGTAATTCTAGTAAACTACAGATTCTGACTGCAGCATCGTGTGATTTTGCAAACTCTATAGATTCTGGATGGAGCACCACATGATTTTAGCAAACAACTATATAGATTCTGAATTGTGTTATGTGACTGGAACCACATGTGATTCTAGAACACCACTATATAGATTTTGGCCTTAGCACCATGTGATTCTAGAAAACAACTATACAGATTCTGGCAGAAGTGCAATGTAATTCTAGTTAACAACTACATAGATTTTGACTGGTGTTATGTGGCTGGAGTACCTTGTTCTTGTCTGATCTGGGACAAAATCCACATACAACAAATGAGATTTTGGATAAACCAAAATCAATCTTGATTAAGCTAAACTGTTTCTGATCTGATGGAGACCATTTTTTAAACAAAAAACAAAAAAATCTGCACATCAACATTTGTGTTGACAACTGACCTGTGAAAATTTTCTCCTTGCCTATTGTGTAGGTGCCACATATGACCAACGTGTTAGGATTGCGAGCCACGTGGCTCAATGCCAGAGATACAGCAAAGTTAATGACATCATGCTGCGTGGGGAAGGTGTATGCAGGATCACAATATCTGCCAACAAAACATAGACTGACTGTGCATGATAATTAGTTGACACACCACAGCTTGGTCACATCCCAAACTGCACACAAACTGACAGTCTCATGAGCTTTGTTAGCCTAGCATGTCACATGAGCTCTGTCAGCCTCGCATGTCACAACATGAACTGTCAGTTTAGCATGTCATCACATGAACTTGGTCACCGTGGTATGTCACATGAACCTGGTCACCGTCGCATGTCACATGAACTCGGTCACTGTGGCATGTCATCACATGAACTCCATCAGTGTGGCATGTCATCACATGAACTTGGTCACCGTGGTATGTCACATGAACCTGGTCACCGTGGCATGTCACATGAACTCGGTCACTGTGGCATGTCACATGAACTCAGTCACCGTGGCATGTCACATGAACTCAGTCACCATGGCATGTCACATGAACTCAGTCACCGTAGCCTGTCACATGAACTCGGTCACCGTAGCCTGTCACATGAACTTGGTCACCGTGGCATGTCACATGAACTCCATCAGTGTGGCATGTCACACGAACTCCATCAGCGTGGCATGTCATCACATGAACTCCATCAGTGTGGCATGTCACATGAACTACATCAGTGTGGCATGTCACATGAACTCCATCAGTGTGGCATGTCATCACATGAACTGTCACCGTGGCATGTCACATGAACTCAATCAGCATGGCATGTCAGGGCGAGTATTGTACACAACACAATATCATAGACAGCCGTCAGTGCCTATGGCTCAGGGCGAGTATTGTACACAACACGATATCATAGACAGCCGTCAGTGCCTATGGCTCAGGGCGAGTATTGTACACAACACGATATCATAGACAGCCGTCAGTGCCTATGGCTCAGGGCGAGTATTGTACACAACACGATATCATAGACAGCCGTCAGTGCCTATGGCTCAGGGCGAGTATTGTACACAACACGATATCATAGACAGCCGTCAGTGCCTATGGCTCAGGGCGAGTAATGTACACAACACGATATCATAGACAGCCTTCAGTGCCTATGGCTCAGGGCGAGTATTGTACACAACACGATATCATAGACAGCCGTCAGTGCCTATGGCTCAGGGCGAGTATTGTACACAACACGATATCATAGACAGCCGTCAGTGCCTATGGCTCATAGAGCTGTGCCGCTGGTTTTGGAAACAGTGTCTACTTTGACTGTGAAGTGTCAAGTCTCTACCACAAAACATCTGTGTCAATGTTCACATTTTCCAGATTAGATTTAGTCCAGAGAATTCTGAGACTTGCTTCAGAAGCTCAAAAAAGGAATACCACATGGTGGCTAAATTTAATATTCACACTGTCTGAGAAAAAGAAGGGATGTATAAGGCACATGCTTGTAATAATTATTGTTATATATAATTCCCCATTGCTAGGAATATATTTTCAATACTACTGTGTGTGGCCCTACAATTTTTACCCTTCTAAACTTTTTTGAATAAGATTTAGCTCATAAACTCATTCAAAGTTAAACTGGAGTTAGTGTTGGATATTTTATGTTAATAATTTGACAGATAGGAAACCTATTATCTATGATTGTGTTATGACATCTATCCCAGCAGCCAGTTAAATTGATTGAGAAATGGCCAATACCAATTATTTTCAAACTGCCAAACTCACATGTTAAGAGTTTCACACCCATGTGGTTGAAATGAGAATAAACTTTAAAACATGATTGTGTTTAAGCATTTAAATCCCTGAAAGCAGCACTAAAGTAAAGAGAGCAGAACCATTCACCCAGCTGAATGTTCTCTTTCTCACTGATGCTAAATCTTGGGCTTGGAAATAATATCCTTCAGAAACTGATGATATAATATTCCTTCCATCAGGCAAATAGATTCTATTTCAGTAAATACTATTCTATATCCCACTCAAGAATGTAAAAACGTTACTATTTCCACTCCAAATGTGTGTGTAGTGTAACAGTATATGAGGACGGAATGCAGTGTGACCTTCAGTCTTAACTTTCCCAACTTCTACAGGGTCTGTTCAATTGCTCTAGTTTCAGGTGGAAGTTCCAGTATAGCTGCAGGTGTCAGATTGTCTAAACCTGCCGCAAGTGTCTCTGAGGCTGAGCCAGAAGCTGACCCAACAAACAAAAGCTACATATCAGTCTAATGTCAATCTAATCCGGAAACATTTCTATATCCCCAACTTGTCCAATGTTTTAAATACATGAAAGTTCTAATTGTCCCTCCAGTTTTATGGGGTTCATTTTAACTGTAGTTATTTGTCTCAGTGAGCAGTAGCTAGTATATTTGAGTACATTTAAATATACAATTAATTAACAGTGGGAATCAAATGTGGGCCAACCCCAAATCCTCTCCTTTAACTAGCAAGGCTTAGAGACAGATACATCTTTTAGGATGTTTCACGGTTTGAGATTCCGACTGTATACTATCTGTGTGCCAGGTCTTGTACAGAAAGAAGAAGAATTATGTTCTAGTATTTTCAGTAGACTGCACATAGAACATTCACACCCCCCCCCCCAAAAAAAAGCGAATCACCACGCCACAAAGTGTCCGAATACACAACTGATGTCTACACATGCCTACTTATGAAACGTCTTGATACACAACTGATGTCTACACATGCCTACTTATGAAACGTCTTGATACACAACTTATGTCTACACATGTTTATTTATTTAATGTCTAGACATACAAATTATGTCTACACATGCCTACTTACGTGTTAACAAGAAACACAACTGAGGTCTACATATGACTACTTACGTGGTGTCTAGATATACAACTGAATTCTACACACGTCTACTTGTGTGTGCCTGTGTGTATGTATGTGTCTGAATTTGTGTGTGTATCTACGTAAGCGTGTGTTTGTGTATGTCTGCGTGAGCATCAGTGTGTGTATGTGTGTGTCTGCAATTGTGTGTTTCTGTGTCTGTGCATTATGTGTGTCATGCATGTATGTATGTAGGTGTGTGTGCGTGTTTGTTTCTGTGGGTGCGTCTGTGTGTGTATGTATGTGGAATGTGTGTGTAAGTAGGTATGTATGTATGTGGGTGAATGGGTGTGTTTATGTGTGTGTATATGTGAATGTTTTTGGGTGTTTATATATGCGTGTATAAGTGAGCGGGTGAGTGTGTATGTGTGTGTGCGCTAGTGCGTGCATGCATTTTACCACCTATGCTTTTGTGGGTTCCCTCTAGATATTCATTATATGCAAATTATCATTATAACATACTTATTGATAAAATACAACTGAAGTGTGAAAGACAGGTGTTTGGAAGGGCTGAATGTAAGACGGGCATGGGTGCCCAATTTGTGACCCTTTGAAAAGAAATTTGTTAATGTTTACTTACGTGGTATCTAGATACACATCCGAGGTGATGACACCTTTCAGCATGGGGTATGACTCCATCAATGGATTGGCTCTGAAATCTCCCGTATGCAAAACTTTTCTTCCATCTTTGAGCTCAAACAAGACCATAACAGCACCTGGGCAACTGCATGTTGATAGTACATTAAATAGATATGGCTCTCAATAGTTCCTTAGATAGATATGGCTCTCAATAGTTCCTTAGATAGATATGGCTCTCAATTGTTCCTTAGATACGTACAGCAAGATATTAACACTAGACAGATAGGCTCATAATACTTCAGCAGAATGATACAGCCTATTTCATTAGACAGATACAGCAAGATACTAACAGTTCATTAGATAGGTACAGCTCTCAATAGTTTATTAGACAGATACAGCAAGATACTAACAGTTCATTAGATAGGTACAGCTCTCAATAGTTTATTAGACAGATACAGCAAGATACTAACAGTTCATTAGATAGGTACAGCTCTCAATAGTTCATTAGACAGATACAGCAAGATACTAACAGTTCATTAGATAGGTACAGATCTCAAAATTTTATTACAGATATTGGAAATGTGTCTGTTCAATAGTTCCCTATAACATATGATGTGAGAGGAAATCTACTGTCTGTTCAATAGTTCCCTATAATATATGATGTGAGAGGAAATCTACAGTCTGTTCAATAGTTCCCTATAATATATGATGTGAGAGGAAATCTACAGTCTGTTCAATAGTTCCCTATAATATATGATGTAAGAGGAAATATGTCTGTTCAAAAGTTCCCTATAATATATGATGTGAAAGGAAACTTGTCTGTTCAATAGTTCCCTATAATATATGATGTGAGAGGAAATCTGTCTGTTGAATAGTTCCCCATAATATATAATGTGAGAGGAAATCTGTCTGTTGAATAGTTCCCCATAATATATGATGTGAGAGGAAATCTACCATAAGCTATGTTACTTACTGGTTAGCTTCCATCAAAGTTAAGGTAACCCCAGCCACCTGGTAAGGTATCCACAGTTGTAAGCGGTGAATCCACTGTTTATCCACACCTAGACGGTGCTCTACAAGGTTCCCAGTTACCTGCACAATAATCAACTAAACTGACATCCCTGAGTGTATGTAGAGTGACAAAAAAACTCCCTTGTCACACCCAGCTGTACCATACTCTCCAGACCATAAAGATCTATGCATGCTTCTGCACTGCTCACTTGCTCCCAAAAGGCTCTGACCATGTCTAGCTTGTCATGTATCAACCCAACACACAGTAGTCTTGACCTGTTCATTTCCTAACATACATGCCTGCCTGGAGAAAATATCCAAAGGTTGCTAAAATTACCTGAGAACCCCGAAGGAATGCTTGTCAAACATACATGCCTGCCTGGAGAAAATATCCAAAGGTTGCTAAAATTACCTGAGAACTCCGAAGGAATGCTTGTCAAACATACATGCCTGCCTGGAGAAAATATCCAAAGGTTGCTAACATTACCTGAGAACCCCGAAGGAATGCTTGTCAAACATACATGCCTGCCTGGAGAAAATATCCAAAGGATGCTAAAATTACCTGAGAACCCCGAAGGAATGCTTGTCAAACATACATGCCTGCCTGGAGAAAATATCCAAAGGATGCTAAAATTACCTGAGAACCCCGAAGGAATGCTTGTCAAACATACATGCCTGCCTGGAGAAAATATCCAAAGGATGCTAAAATTACCTGAGAACCCGAAGGAATGCTTGTCAAACATACATGCCTGCCTGGAGAAAAATATCCAAAGGTTGCTAAAATTACCTGAGAACCCCGAAGGAATGCTTGTCAAACATACATGCCTGCCTGGAGAAAATATCCAAAGGTTGCTAAAATTACCTGAGAACCCCGAAGGAATGCTTGTCGAACATACATGCCTGCCTGGAGAAAATATCCAAAGGATGCTAAAATTACCTGAGAACCCCGAAGGAATGCTTGTCAAACATACATGCCTGCCTGGAGAAAATATCCAAAGGATGCTAAAATTACCTGAGAACCCCGAAGGAATGCTTGTCAAACATACATGCCTGCCTGGAGAAAATATCCAAAGGATGCTAAAAATACCTGAGAACCCCGAAGGAATGCTTGTCAAACATACATGCCTGCCTGGAGAAAATATCCAAAGGTTGCTAAAATTACCTGAGAACCCCGAAGGAATGCTTGTCAAACATACATGCCTGCCTGGAGAAAATATCCAAAGGATGCTAAAATTACCTGAGAACCCCGAAGGAATGCTTGTCAAACATACATGCCTGCCTGGAGAAAATATCCAAAGGATGCTAAAATTACCTGAGACCCTGGAAGGAATGCTTGTCAATCTGCAATTCCACCTTTCTCAGCATGCTTTGTGAATTGGTTTTAATCATGACATGCGTGCAACTGATTCTCAAGGCAACAGTAAGCTTCTGTGACTACCTCTACCCCATTCTCAAACTTGATGTATCACATGCTAGGCTCTGTTGTCATGTCTATCCACTTTCACACTAAACTCACAGGCACCTGCCTATTAACACAAGAGTCATTTGTATAGCTAATCACACAACCTGCATAGGAATTTCATGAATCAATTGTTGAATTTCTGATTTTGCAGTGCCTGCTGGCCAGTCAGTCAGTGTACAGCTACTGACAGACATGACAGAGACAACATGGAGCAAGAGTCAGTGTACAGCTACTGACAGACATGAGAGAGACAACATGGAGCAAGAATCAGTGTACAGCTACTCAGACATGTACAGCTACTGGACAAGAGACATGACAGAGACAACATGGAGCAAGAGTCAGTGTACAGCTACTGACAGACATGACAGAGACAACATGGAGCAAGAGTCAGTGTACAGCTACTGACAGACATGACAGAGACAACATGGAGCAAGAGTCAGTGTACAGCTACTGACAGACATGACAGAGACAACATGGAGCAAGAGTCAGTGTACAGCTACTACTGACAGACATGACAGAGACAACATGGAGCAAGAGTCAGTGTACAGCTACTGACAGACATGACAGAGACAACATGGAGCAAGAGTCATGTACAGCTACTGACAGACATGACAGAGACAACATGGAGCAAGAGTCAGTGTACAGCTACTGACAGACATGACAGAGACAACATGGAGCAAGAGTCAGTGTACAGCTACTGACAGACATGACAGAGACAACATGGAGCAAGAGTCAGTGTACAGCTACTGACAGACATGACAGAGACAACATGGAGCAAGAGTCAGTGTACAGCTACTGACAGACATGACAGAGACAACATGGAGCAAGAGTCAGTGTACAGCTACTGACAGACATGACAGAGACAACATGGAGCAAGAGTCAGTGTACAGCTACTGACAGACATGACAGAGACAACATGGAGCAAGAGTCAGTGCTACTGACAGACATACAGAGACAACATGGAGCAAGAGTCAGTGTACAGCTACTGACAGACATGACAGAGACAACATGGAGCAAGAGTCATGTACAGCTACTGACAGACATGACAGAGACAACATGGAGCAAGAGTCAGTGTACAGCTACTGACAGACATGACAGAGACAACATGGAGCAAGAGTCAGTGTACAGCTACTGACAGACATGACAGAGACAACATGGAGCAAGAGTCAGTGTACAGCTACTGACAGACATGACAGAGACAACATGGAGCAAGAGTCATGTACAGCTACTGACAGACATGACAGAGACAACATGGAGCAAGAGTCAGTGTACAGCTACTGACAGACATGACAGAGACAACATGGAGCAAGAGTCAGTGTACAGCTACTGAGCAGACATGACAGAGACAACATGGAGCAAGAGTCAGTGTACAGCTACTGACAGACATGACAAGAGACAACATGGAGACATGAGAGTCAACATGAGTCAGTGTACAGCTACTGACAGACATGACAGAGACAACATGGAGCAAGAGTCAGTGTACAGCTACTGACAGACATGACAGAGACAACATGGAGCAAGAGTCAGTGTACAGACAGACAACAGAGACAACATGGAGCAAGAGTCAGTGTACAGCTACTGACAGACATGACAGAGACAACATGGAGCAAGAATCAGTGTACAGCTACTGACAGACATGACAGAGACAACATGGAGCAAGAGTCAGTCAGCTACTGTACAGCAGAGACAACATGACAGACATGACAGCAGACAGACATAACAGAGACAACATGGAGCAAGAGTCAGTGTACAGCTACTGACAGACATGACAGAGACAACATGGAGCAAGAGTCAGTGTACAGCTACTGACAGACATGACAGAGACAACATGGAGCAAGAGTCAGTGTACAGCTACTGACAGACATAACAGAGACAACATGGAGCAAGAGTCAGTGTACAGCTACTGACAGACATGACAGAGACAACATGGAGCAAGAGTCAGTGTACAGCTACTGACAGACATGACAGAGACAACATGGAGCAAGAGTCAGTGTACAGCTACTGACAGACATGAGACAGAGACAACATGGAGCAAGAGTCAGTGTACATGCTACTCAGTGACAGACATAACAGAGACAACATGGAGCAAGAGTCAGTGTACAGCTACTGACAGACATAACAGAGACAACATGGAGCAAGAGTCAGTGTACAGCTACTGACAGACATGACAGACAACATGGAGCAAGAGTCAGTGTACAGCTACTGACAGACATGACAGAGACAACATGGAGCAAGAGTCAGTGTACAGCTACTGACAGACATGACAGAGACAACATGGAGCAAGAGTCAGTGTACAGCTACTGACAGACATAACAGAGACAACATGGAGCAAGAGTCAGTGTACAGCTACTGACTGACAGACATGACACAGACATGAGCAAGTAGTCATGAGCTACTGACAGACATACAGAGACAACATGGAGCAAGAGTACATGACTGACAGACATGACAGAGACAACATGGAGCAAGAGTCAGTGTACAGCTACTGACAGACATGACAGAGACAACATGGAGCAAGAGTCAGTGTACAGCTACTGACAGACATGACAGAGACAACATGGAGCAAGAGTCAGTGTACAGCTACTGACAGACATGACAGAGACAACATGGAGCAAGAGTCATGTACAGTACAGCTACTGACAGACATGTACAGAGACAACATGGAGCAAGAGTCAGTGTACAGCTACTGACAGACATGACAGAGACAACATGGAGCAAGAGTCAGTGTACAGCTACTGACAGACATGACAGAGACAACATGGAGCAAGAGTCAGTGTACAGCTACTGACAGACATGACAGAGACAACATGGAGCAAGAGTCAGTGTACAGCTACTGACAGACATGACAGAGACAACATGGAGCATGAGTCAGAGTACAACATGGACAGTACAGACATGACAGAGACAACATGGAGCAAGAGTCAGTGTACAGCTACTGACAGACATGACAGAGACAACATGGAGCAAGAGTCAGTGTACAGCTACTGACAGACACTGACAGAGACAACATGGAGCAAGAGTCAGTGTACAGCTACTGACAGACATGACAGAGACAACATGGAGCAAGAGTCAGTGTACAGCTACTGACAGACATGACAGAGACAACATGGAGCAAGAGTCAGTGTACAGCTACTGACAGACATGACAGAGACAACATGGAGCAAGAGTCAGTGTACAGCTACTGACAGACATGACAGAGACAAACATGGAGCAAGAGTCATGTACAGCTACTGACAGACATGACAGAGACAACATGGAGCAAGAGTCAGTGTACAGCTACTGACAGACATGACAGAGACAACATGGAGCAAGAGTCAGTGTACAGCTACTGACAGACATGACAGAGACAACATGGAGCAAGAGTCAGTGTACATGACTACAACATGACAAGACATGTACAGCTACTGACAACATGGAGCAAGAGTCAGTGTACAGCTACTGACAGACATGACAGAGACAACATGGAGCAAGAGTCAGTGTACAGCTACTGACACACAGCAACATGGAGCAAGAGTCAGTGTACAGCTACTGACAGACATGACAGAGACAACATGGAGCAAGAGTCAGTGTACAGCTACAACATGACAGAGACAACATGGAGCAAGAGTCAGTGTACAGCACTGACAGACATGACAGAGACAACATGGAGCAAGAGTCATGTACAGCTACTGACAGACATGACAGAGACAACATGGAGCAAGAGTCAGTGTACAACTGACAGACATGACACGTGCAAGAGTCAGTGTACAGCTGACAGACATGAAGCAACATGGAGTCAGCACAGCTACTGCCAGACATGACAGGGACAACATGGAGCAAGAGTCAGTGTACAGCTACTGACATACATGACACCAACATGGAGCAAGAGTCAGTACATAAACTGCCAGACAACAGGGACATGAAGTAAGAGTCAGTGTACAGTATGACAGACAGACAGGGACAACAAAATGCCAAACATGAAACTACTACTAGAGCAGTGGACAGGTAGAGCAGTCAGAGTACGTGTATAACTGCCACACATGAAGCAAAAGTCAGCACATAACTGCCAAACATGAAGCAAGAGTCAGTATATAACTGCCAAACATGAAGTAAGAGTCAGTATATAAATGCCAAACATAAGTCAGAGTCCAAACAGTATATATAGCTAGAGTCTGCCAACTGCTACAGGAAGCAATAGTCTGTATACAAAACAGGGGGCTGTAACAAAGCTGCTACTCGTTGTTTCAATTGTTCCACCTCCTCCCTCAAAACGGACATTTCACCCTTCTCACTCGACGACACTGAAGAACTCACAACATCAACATGCATCACTGACTCGTTAGTCGAAACCACATTGTTAGAAAAGAAATTTTCATCACCCACCCATCTAAGAGCAAAATTTCTGATGGACAGAAAAGTCACTCTAGGATCTTGGTGAATTCTCTCTAGCGCTAACTTTCTGCAAATCGTGTCTCTCAGTTGTACGACGAATTGATCTCTCAAGATCGACGTATCCCATGGGGATATTTTCACCTTCTTTTGCGCACTGATAATCGCTTGAAACGCTTCATGAATACGATGAGAAAAACTATGGAGACTCTCATTCTCACCGTGCCGCAGGGCGAAAAATGCAGACGCCAGTTCCACAATGCTTCGACGCTCCCCATAGACTTGCTGGATTAAATCTAGCATCGCGTCCGCATCCTCTGTTTGATGCAACTTCAGCTCTTGCCTGACGCTTGATGTGACATGATCAATCACCATGTCAATCTGATCTGCCGGAGTCATCCGTTCATTTCTGAACGCGGACTTGACTCGACAAACGAACTCATCTGTGACCGTGGGATCTGATGTCCCCTCAAAGTGCGTAATGCTTACGCGCTCTGGCCACATGATGATGTGCGTACACCCTGGTCTGTTTGATAAACAGGATCCTTCCACCGCCGAGGTCAGGGAACTGCCTTCATGGTGCATGTTACTGCTCACACGAGTGCTCTCGTCCATCTTGCTAAGGAGGTTCAACTGAATCTACCGCACCGGGTTGGCTTCCTAATTCTAAATCCAAACTTCACACCTCAAAGAGATCTACTAGCTACTTCTCTACCAACAACTGGAAATAATACATCCACTAAACAACTCTGTTTAAGAACATGAATGAAAGAACAACTAACTGATGGAATTCAAACTTTACCAACTGACCAAAACACTGAACGGCCACTAAGAATCATATACCACACTATGGATAGCACCATCTACCATAGACTAAGAGGTATACACATTCAAAAGGAATCGTGTTCGCAGCGCCAAAAATGTCACAGTTGGGTACATTTTAAAGAGGGGATAGAAGAAGAGAAGATATAAAAGTATAGAGAGAGACAGACGAGAAGAAATAATAGTTAAAGGATGTATAAGAGGACAATAGGTTCTCCTGTGTGGAGAGTGTAGTAATAAGTCTACACCCCAAACGATCAGGTAATAGTCAGTGGAGGTCTTATGAAGGAGAGAGTAGATATATAGTAAAGTGGTGGTGGTATGAAGACTACAGCAACTAACAATAATAGTACCACTCCTATACTCAACAAACTAACGATGGAATAAAAGAATAACAACTAACAATCATGTTTATTAAGAAACAGCATTACAAAGTCGTCTATCTCATGTTACACAACCAACAGATGTTATATTATGTTATAAACAGAACGTCCTCACACTATAAGACTCAGCAACTGAAAGCAGAATCCACTCAACGATAAACTAGCAAATGACGCCTAGAATGTCCTTCATTGCTCTACAAATAATAAGCCAAATAACAACTACAATCTAGCCATCTACTCTAATGCCAAATACCGACTACCATCTAACCGTACTGCTGATTGCAGTCTAGATACCATCTAACTATAGCCAACCCGGCACACCATGACAGAAACTGCCATGTCACATAACATGAAGCAATATTATGTGCATTATCTGGCAAGTCACAAAACAGAAGTATGGACTTAGCTTCATCGTATCGACATCATCCGAATGCCCACAGCATCCTTCGTTGGTAGAGATCTCAGCGCAAGTGTCTCCCTGGCAGTGTATATCCCCTGACGCTACTTGGTTCTACCTCTCTCCTTTGTACCTGAGTTCATGAACCTGTGTCTTCTTAGGTTCATGAACCTTTCTCTTTCCCGCCAAAGATGGTTTTCCAAGCCACTTTGCATAATTGGATGGAAAAAACCCAGGAAATCGTGTGTCGTTGCCTTTCTTCTGTTAATTTACGAGTATATTGGCCTACAATAGTTCCTGCTTGGCCTCGCACCTACGCCTAAAGCCAATGCCCTCAGGGTTGCTATACTATGTAGCGACCATCTTTATCTCAAGCGACTCTATACCTCCTTATTCCTCCGTGTGTTTCTTTCCTTCTATTTCCTTCTTGTAATAAACGTGACTGTAATCAGTACTGTCACACAAACATGAAGCTAGAGTCAGTATATAACTGCCAAACATGAAGCAAGAGTCAGTGCCCATGTGCAACACATGAAGTAAGAGTCAGTATATAACTGCCACACATGAAGCAAGAATCAGTATATAACTGCCAAACATGAAGTAAGAGTCAGTATATAACTGCCAGACATGAAGTAAGAGTCAGTATATAACTGCCACACATGAAGTAAGTGTCAGTATATAACTGCCACACATAAAGTAAGAGTCAGTGAACAGGTGCCACACAAGAAGCAAGAATCAAGTGTAGAGTGCCATACAGACGGCAAGAGTCAGTGCACATGTGCCTCACATGAAGTAAGCATCAGTTTACATATGCCACACATGAAGCAAGTCAGTGCCCATGTGCCACACATAAAGCAAGAGTCAGTGCACATGTGCCACACACAAAGCAAGAGTTATTGCACAGCTGCCACACAAGAAGCAAGAGTCAGTGTGTATAAGTGCCACATATAAAGCAAAAGTCAGTGTGTATAGTTGCCACTAACCTGACTGCAGTAGATGGGTTGTGCAAACTTCTTAGTCAGGCCCCCATAGTGATCATAATGAAAGTGTGTCAAAATGTAAGCCTGGCATCCTGGCACTATGCCGTAGCTGAAAGCATCCACGGTGATCCCTGTGTCTGGAAATATGTCAGCCAATGATTCAATACTTAACATGGATATGTTACAGTCATTTTAATATAGATCAATGGAGCTATTACCCTCAACAAATAAATGCTTTTGTAACTAACAAGCAGTCAACAGCAGAAACCCAGTCTGTGAGGAGATTATTCTCACTGGAATGTTAGCTACATCAGAAACCCAGTCTGTGAGGAGATTATTGTCACTGAAATGTTAGCCACACCAGAAACCCAGCCTGTGAGGAGATTGTCACTGGAATGTTAGCCACATCAGAAACCCAGCCTGTGAGGAGATTATTCTCAATGGAATGTTAGCCACACCAGAAACCCAGTCTGTGTGGAGATTATTCTCACTGGAATGTTAGCTACATCAGAAACCAAGCCTGTGTGGAGATTATTCTCACTGGAATGTTAGCTACATCAGAAACCCAGTCTGTGAGGAGATTATTGTCACTGGAATGTTAGCCACATCAGAAACCCAGCCTGTGAGGAAATTATTCTCACTGGAATGTTAGCTACATCAGAAACCCAGTCTGTGTGGAGATTATTGTCACTGGAATGTTAGCTACATTAGAAACACAGTCTGTGTGGAGATTATTCTCACTGGAATGTTAGCCACACCAGAAACCTAGTCAGTGTGGAGATTATTCTCACTGGAATGTTAGCTACATCAGAAACCCAGTCTGTGTGGAGATTATTCTCACTGGAATGTTAGCCACACCAGAAACCCAGCCTGTGAGGAGATTATTCTCACTGGAATGTTAGCTACATCAGAAACCCAGTCTGAGTGGAGATTATTCTCACTGAAATGTTAGCCACATCAGAAACCCAGTCTGTGAGGAGATTATTCTCACTGGAATGTTAGCCACATCAGAAACCCAGTCTGTGAGGAGATTATTCTCACTGGAATGTTAGCCACATCAGAAACCCAGTCTGTGAGGAGATTATTCCCACTGGAATGTTAGCTACATCAGAAACTGAGTCTGTGTGGAGATTATTCTCACTGAAATGTTAGCCACATCAGAAACCCAGTCTGTGTGGAGATTATTCTCACTGGAATGTTAGCCACACCAGAAACACAGTTTGTGTGGAGATTATTCTCACTGGAATGTTAGCCACACCAGAAACACAGTTTGTGTGGAGATTATTCTCACTGGAATGTTAACCACACCAGAAACACAGTTTGTGTGGAGATTATTCTCACTAAAATGTTAACCACGTCAGAAACAGTCTGTGATAGGGCTACACCACAAAGAGGTCCTAGCACTGATATTTGATTGCGTGAGCTCTGCAGTCAACAACTGTTTCGTCACAACTGATCTAATGATAAATAATCTCCCATCTGTACACAACCTGTGGTCTAATGATAAATAATCTCCCATCTGTACACAACCTGTGGTCTAATGATAAATAATCTCCCATCTGTACACAATGTGTGATCTGATGATAAATAATCTCCCATCTGTACACAATCTGTGGTCTAATGATAAATAATCTCCCATCTGTACACAATCTGTGGTCTAATGATAAATAATCTCTCATCATTACACAATTAGTGGTCTAATGATAAATAATCTCCCATCTGTACACAATCTGTGGTCTAATGATAATTTCCCATCTGTACACAATCTGTTGTCTAATGATAAATAATTTCCCATCTGTACACAATCTGTTGTCTAATGATAAATAATTTCCCATTTGTACACAATCTGTAGTCTAATGATAAATAATTTCCCATTTGTACACAATCTGTTGTCTAATGATAAATAATTTCCCATTTGTACACAATCTGTTGTCTAATGATAAATAATTTCCCATTTGTACACAATCTGTTGTCTAATGATAAATAATTTCCCATTTGTACACAATCTGTTGTCTAATGATAAATAATTTCACATGTATACAACTTGTGGTCTAATGATAATTTCCCATTTGTACACAATCTGTTGTCTAATGATAAATAATTTCACATGTATACAACTTGTGGTCTAATGATAAATAATTTCACATGTATACAACTTGTGGTCTAATGATAAATAATTTCCCATTTGTACACAATCTGTTGTCTAATGATAAATAATTTCACATGTATACAACTTGTGGTCTAATGATAAATAATTTCACATGTATACAACTTGTGGTCTAATGATAAATAATTTCACATGTATACAACTTGTGGTCTAATGATAAATAATTTCACATGTATACAACTTGTGGTCTAATGATAAATAATTTCACATGTATACAACTTGTGGTCTAATGATAAATAATTTCTCATCTGTACACAATCTGTAGTCTAATGATAAATAATTTCCCATTTGTACACCATTTGTAGTCTTATATTTTCATATCTGTAAAGAAGTTGAGGGCAAACCCTGGTCCTGTAAAGGGTGTGCTATGACTTGTCATACACATCTGGCAAACATGGTATGTGTAACTCACTTGTGAGTACTTGTGTCTCAAGAACACAATCAGGCAGTTTGAATGTTAAAAAACAATAATAACATGCAAATACATTAAATGACAGAGAAACTGTTGGTTACCCTGAAAAGCATTATGCAACACATGACAGTAGCACAACAGTGTTCAACTAATGACATGAGGACAACATAGTGTGCAACAAATGACAGGAGGACAACACAGTGTTCAACAACTGACAGGAGGACAACACAGTGTGCAACAAATGATAGGAGGACAACACTGTGTACAACAAATGACAGGAGGACTAAGTGTAAACAAATGACACAAGAACAGTATGCAACACATGACAAGAGAGCAACAGCACGCAACACATGATAGGAGAACAACAAAATATGTTAATACCTATTCCAACATGGGTGTAAATAACCTGCTAATACTGAATCATGACTTACTGTGGATCTTTTTGTAGAAAGGGCACTGTCTCTTTCCTGCTGCTCTGTACTGCTGCTGTTGCTGGCTGTCTTGAGTTAACTCTGGTTTTACTCCTCTAACATCCACATATGAAGATGATGGGATTACAGTCTGCCTTTCAGAGCTAACTGCCTTGAATGGTGTCACCACAGATGTCTGACACTGACCAAAGACTGGATCTGAAACTTTTGAGCACTTGCCACCAGAAGTCTGTCTACGGCCTGATAGAGTGCTCAATGTTTTACTCATGAATCCTATGGTTTTGCTAGAACCAACTCTCGCTTTAAAGAAGGAGAAAATGGATGTCTGTTTCTGTACACTAGGCAGGATGGACTGTTTGTCAATGGCACTGGGATAATTAGTCTGTGCTGTCACACCGGGAGAATTCGTCTTTGACACCACATGATAATAATTAGTCTGTGCCGTCACAGTGGCAGAATTAGACTGTGAGGTCACATTAAGCATAGTCTTCATAACAGCAACGTCTTCTTCAACCTGAGCCATACTGGCATCTGAAAGAGTGTTGCACCTGAAGTCAGGCTTATCAACCTGAGCTGAGTGGCCATCATTTTCTGCATCTGGAGTCTGTGCATAGTCAGAGATCTCACCCGACGTCAGCAGTTTGCATCTGTCTCCTAAGGTATGATGGCTAAAGGTGCCTTCAACATCACAATCACTAGCATCCACCAGAGAGCAACTGCTTGACACAGCAGAGGCTGGACATGCAAGCTGGTCATTACTGGTCATCAGAGAATGATGTAATTTCTCTACACAGCTACCATATCCACTTTCAAGGGAAGCTGCTACGCTGCACGTATTGCCACTGCCTACATGATGCTCAATGTTGGTGCTGTGAGATTCCACAAGCTTCTCCTCTACTGCTGCCCTGCTTTGACCTCTGACACCTGTGCAGTGCAAGAGCACTTTCGGTTCTGTAGAATGAATGAACTCTTCGCAGATATCACTGTTCATGGAACCATTCATAGCAGCCACACTAGTGGCATCACATACATAATCAGCAGCTAAAGTATCCTCAAGTAGTTTCATTTGCTTTGTGAAAATTTCTTCATGTACAATCGACAGTTCATCATCGCTAAATTCTGTAAACAGACTCTTCCCAGATATTGGACTACTTCTCTTGCTGTTTCGTTTCTCCCCACATGGACTGAAGTAACTTTGAATACCAGGACTCTGCACAGACACACATTTCCTTGGAGTGGACAGACAGTTGGCTGACCCCACAGTGTGAGGTTTGAAGCATGCTGCAGGTGGTGGTGACAGTTTACAATGACCCAGTTGCCTTCTACCTGAAGCAACACTCACGACAGTACTGCTAAAAGGCTTCTTCTTGCCAGCTTTGCTAACCTGTGCATTTTGTTTCTTCTTATCTGGAGGTAAATACAGAGGCACTAATCCATTCTCTGCATCCACATCTATAACTTGTATAACTCCCTGCTCTGTAGATATATCAGTCAAGTTTTAATGTAAGATTGCACTCAATAATTTTTTTTTTTTTAAAATAACATTTGCAACACTAGCCACAGACAAGACTGTAACTACACAAAAAAACTGTAGCCACACACAAGCTTCTAGCCAGACAAGACTGTAACCACAGCGAAGACTGTAGACACAGACAAGACTCTAGCCACAGATAAGACTGTAACCACACAAAAGACTAGCCACAGACATGACTGTAGCCACAGACAAGACTGTAACCATACAAAAGACTAGCCACAGACATGACTGTAGCCACAGACAAGACTGTAACCAGAGATAAGACTGTAACCACACAAAAGACTAGCCACAGACAAGACTGTAACCAGAGATAAGACTAACCACAGACAAGACTGTAACCAGACAAAAGACTAGCCACAGACAAGACTGTAACAAGAGATAAGACTAGCCACAGACAAGACTGTAACCAGAGATAAGACTAGCCACAGACACGCTTGAAACCACAAAGAAACCACAGACAAGCTTGTAATCACAGATAAGTGCAACCATAGACAAGCTTACAACTACAGACAAGCTTTAAACCACAAACAAGCTTTAACCACAGACAAGACTGTAACTATAGGCACGACTGTAACCACTGACAAGCTTGTAACCATAGACAAGCTCATAACCACAGACAAGATTGTAACCAAAGACAAGATTGTAACCACAGACAAGACTAACGACAGAGATGACTGTAGCCACAGATACGACTTTATCCACAGACAAGACTGTAACTACAGACAAGACTGTAACTACAGACAAGACTGTAACTACAGACAAGACTGTAACCACAGACAAGACTGTAACTACAAGCAAGATTTTAACCACAGACAAGCTCGTAACCACACAAGACTAACTACAAAGCAAGAATGTAACCACAGACAAGCTTATGACCACACACACACAAAAGTAACCCACACACTAAAAAAAAAAAGCTGGTAACCACAGACAAGACTGTAACTCATGTTGCTGATATGTCCCTCTAGGACTTGTATGTATGTTAGTGCAGAGTGTGATCTGGACACCTCTTGTTGCTACGTCCCTCTAGGACTTGTATGTGTGTTAGTGCAGAGTGTGATCTAAACACCTCTTGTTGCTACGTCCCTCTAGGACTTGTAAGTATGTTATTGCAGAGTGTGATCTAGACACCTCTTGTTGCTACGTCCCTCTAGGACTTGTATGTTATTGCAGAGTGTGATCTAGACACCTCTTGTTGCTACGTCCCTCTAGGACTTGTATGTTATTGCAGAGTGTGATCTGGAAACCTCTTGTTGCTACGTCCCTCTAGGACTTGTAAGTATGTTATTGCAGAGTGTGATCTAGACACCTCTTGTTGCTACGTCCCTCTAGGACTTGTATGTTATTGCAGAGTGTGATCTGGACACCTCTTGTTGCTACGTCCCTCTAGGACTTGTAAGTATGTTAGTGCAGAGTGTGATCTGGACACCTCTTGTTGCTACGTCCCTCTAGGACTTGTAAGTATGTTATTGCAGAGTGTGATCTGGACACCTCTTGTTGCTACGTCCCTCTAGGACTTGTAAGTATGTTATTGCAGAGTGTGATCTAGACACCTCTTGTTGCTACGTCCCTCTAGGACTTGTAAGTATGTTATTGCAGAGTGTGATCTGGACACCTCTTGTTGCTACGTCCCTCTAGGACTTGTAAGTATGTTATTGCAGAGTGTGATCTAGACACCTCATGTTGCTATGTCCCTCTAGGACTTGTTACTTATTGCAGAGTGTGATCTAGACACCTCTTGTTGCTACGTCCCTCTAGGACTTGTAAGTATGTTATTGCAGAGTGTGATCTAGACACCTCTTGTTGCTACGTCCCTCTAGGACTTGTATGTGTGTTAGTGCAGAGTGTGATCTAGACACCTCTTGTTGCTACGTCCCTCTAGGACTTGTAAGTATGTTATTGCAGAGTGTGATCTAGACACCTCTTGTTGCTACGTCCCTCTAGGACTTGTATGTTATTGCAGAGTGTGATCTAGACACCTCTTGTTGCTACGTCCCTCTAGGACTTGTATGTATGTTAGTGCAAGGTGTGATCTAGATACCTCTTGTTGCTGATATGTCCCTCTAGGACTTGTATGTATGTTAGTGAAGAGTGTGATCTGGACACCTCTTGTTGCTACGTCCCTCTAGGACTTGTATGTATGTTATTGCAGAGTGTGATCTGGACACCTCTTGTTGCTACGTCCCTCTAGGACTTGTATGTATGTTATTGCAGAGTGTGATCTGGACACCTCTTGTTGCTACGTCCCTCTAGGACTTGTATGTATGTTATTGCAGAGTGTGATCTGGACACCTCTTGTTGCTACGTTCCTCTAGGACTTGTATGTGTGTTATTGCAGAGTGTGATCTGGACACCTCTTGTTGCTACGTCCCTCTAGGACTTGTAAGTATGTTATTGCAGAGTGTGATCTAGACACCTCTTGTTGCTGATATGTCCCTCTAGGACTTGTATGTATGTTAGTGAAGAGTGTGATCTGGACACCTCTTGTTGCTACGTCCCTCTAGGACTTGTATGTATGTTATTGCAGAGTGTGATCTGGACACCTCTTGTTGCTACGTCCCTCTAGGACTTGTATGTATGTTATTGCAGAGTGTGATCTGGACACCTCTTGTTGCTACGTCCCTCTAGGACTTGTATGTATGTTATTGCAGAGTGTGATCTGGACACCTCTTGTTGCTACGTCCCTCTAGGACTTGTAAGTATGTTAGTGCAGAGTGTGATCTGGACACCTCTTGTTGCTACGTTCCTCTAGGACTTGTATGTGTGTTAGTGCAGGGTGTGATCTAGACACCTCTTGTTGCTACGTCCCTCTAGGACTTGTAAGTATGTTATTGCAGAGTGTGCTCTAGACACCTCTTGTTGCTACGTCCCTCTAGGACTTGTATGTTATTGCAGAGTGTGATCTGGACACCTCTTGTTGCTACGTCCCTCTAGGACTTGTAAGTATGTTATTGCAGAGTGTGATCTGGACACCTCTTGTTGCTACGTCCCTCTAGGACTTGTAAGTATGTTATTGCAGAGTGTGATCTGGACACCTCTTGTTGCTACGTCCCTCTAGGACTTGTAAGTATGTTATTGCAGAGTGTGATCTAGACACCTCTTGTTGCTCCGTCCCTCTAGGACTTGTATGTGTGTTAGTGAAGAGTGTGATCTAGACACCTGATGTTGCTATGTCCCTCTAGGACTTGTATGTATGTTAGTGCAAGGTGTGATCTAGATACCTCATTTTGGCTGATTTAAGAAGGACTGTATGTGCAATAATTACACCATTATATTCACGAATAAAATAGATCTCCTTTAAATAAAATAAATTCAAAATTGTGATTTACTGCACAGTCAAATATTTTTTTTTAATATGGGACAAAATTCCATTTTGGTTCAGTTATGTGCATAAAGGTGTATTTATTCAAAGTGCCATTGTTCATGCTTCCCTATAGGAAATTAGTATCAACAATCTTGCATTGATGTCCCAACGAAAACGTGCAATATCCAACGTATTTACAGACAAAACTAACTAAGGTTACTCACTAGTGGCACCTTGCTGGTACAAGCCTTCTGCAGTCGACTTTTTCTTTCTTTCACATTTCTTCTTTGTGCTCAAACTAGCTCTCTTTCTTGGTTTTACTGACAATCTTGAAGAAACAGCCACTTGTTGACCGACTCTGTTCATGTGGGGTTTCTCCTTTCCCACTGACTTATAATTCCAGATGTCATTTTCTTCAGAATCCACATCCATGCTTGCAAGCATCTGTCAAATATAATCATAAGTCCAATGTAACTATCTGCCAGAGTCAGGCTCCAATAAGCAATGTAGACAACTCACCTCAGAAACTATTACACAAAACCTCAAACTATTATAGGCAATCAACTAACTGAAAATTTATATTACTGTTTAACATGAATGTCGAAACAGATTCAAATAACATGGATTATGAAAGAGATCCTGAGAAAACAAAGACTTACCAAATTCAATTTAAGTATCTACACATTTAGATGGAGGGAATTAACAGACCACGGGAGCAAGGGCTTCCGACAACAACAAACACTTTAAAGCCACCTGGGTGTCACCAGACCACATCAGAGGAAATCTCATTGATTCAATCTATATCAAGAAGAAATATAACCCTATAACAGTATTCAGAGGTGCAGACAGAGATTCCGGTCACCATTTGCAGATAAGGGAACTAAGCTGACACTCCAACTTTTTGTTAAAACAACCATCAGTCCCCTGGGAGCCATAGAGTTGTGCCCCTGGTTTGGGGAACTATGTCTGCTATGAATGTAAAGTGGCAGTCTTTGCCACATATTCCACATAAAAATGTTGATTTGTCATCGTTCTGAGTCTGGTTTTCTGTCAGACGTCTCCTCTCTATAGCTTGCTGCATTTGGCTTCTTCTAACCTGTGACAGTCCGTCTTTCATTGTCTGCCTCCAATGAAGTCGGTCTGCAGATCTCTCCCAAGTGTTTGTGCCAATGATATCTTTCAGGTCGTATTTGCACTATGTCCTCATAGCGTAGCTTTGACCTTCCTGCAGGTCATAACACTATCCCAACCAACGCAGGCATCCTCACTACAGTAGAAAGTAAATTGTTGGCATTTCTGTTCTTTTGAGTACACATTCATTGCGGACAAAGTCTCACCATGATATACCAAGTGTAATGAACCATTTTCTCCTTGATAAGATATGTTACAGAAATGACATCAGGTAATAAATATAAATGAGATATTTAAATGTAACTAGTGCAAAGTCAAGATGCATGGAGAAAATGTTGGCCAAATGAAACCTATGTGAATCGGAGAGCAGGAGAAAGTTGTATGCGGGCATAATTATAATTGTAAGCGACTGGAGCCAGAGTGAAAAAGACAAGAGTCATTGCACCAAGAATGCGTCTCATACAGCATATGTGGTGTGTTCACTCTTTTCATTCACAAGCTTCATAATCTTTAATTTTGGTCCTTTCCTTAAGCTTCTGATCTGACCACTCTTGCTAAGAGTGGAAAACACTGCAGAAGCCTTTCCTATATGTCTTTTAGCTCCGCATCTATGGAAAGATCATCTGCGATTCGACAGCCTAGGTATTCAAATGCATGTACAACCAAGAGCTCATGTAACAAACGCTTATGCTTGATAGGTTTATCACATTCATCCCCATCACTTGCGTTTTGTTAAGACTGATGGCGAGTCCAAAAAACTCTACACGCTTTTGCAAAGTGATTCAAGAGAGTCTGCAGATCATTTTTAGTATATGCATCATCAGCAAATATAAAGTCACTAACAAAATGGACCTCCGATGTGAAAAGGGGTAAAATACCAGAAACCCTCCGTGGAGTGTGACCCCGTAAGGTGCGGCTGATGCTGGGCCCACCAGCACATGGATATGTCCTGATCCCCACCAAGATCACACACAGGGAGCCCACCCTGGATAATCAAAGGGGGAGAAGTGAAACCACCACAACCTCTGATCTCTGGCAGGCAGTGTTTGGATGAACCGGGACACAGATAGGGAGACTCCTTAACTTCCCCCACACAAGATGGACATGGCCTAAATGGCGTAGGCACCCAGAAATGAAAACAGACATATACACAATCTCAGTTAATGAGTATGCTTAGATGCCTACACTCTTATGGTGCTGCTCCTGTGGACTACTGCCAGGCAGGAACAGTGATAGATTCAGAGCCTCGAAGGGATCCACCCTAAACTAACCTATGGGGAACCATGAAGGACCTGCTACTTACATGCGAGTTCATAGAGGCAACATACCTGATGGTCTGATTGAGCATACAAAACCAAACGCAAAGAAGAAGATGTATACAAGTATGTGGGAATTGGGAACAACAATATTTCGATAAGAATCATGTGCACAAGTATGTGGGTAATCAGACAGTGGGTAACACAGAATATGTAGGTATGATAGAAGCTAATACAGAAGTCAGACAGTGGGTATCACAGAATATGTAGGTATGATAGAAGCTAATACAGAAGTCAAACAGTGGGTATCACAGAATATGTAGGTATGATAGAAGCTAATACAGAAGCCAAACAGTGGGTACCACAGAATATGTAGGTATGATAGAAGCTAATACATAAGTCAAACTGGGTATCACAGAATATGTAGGTATGATAGAAGCTAATACAGAAGTCAAACAGTGGGTACCACAGAATATGTAGGTATGATAGAAGCTAATACAGAAGTCAGACAGTGGGTACCACAGAATATGTAGGTATGATAGAAGCTAATACAGAAGTCAGACAGTGGGTAACACAGAATATGTAGGTATGATAGAAGCTAATACAGAAGCCAAACAGTGGGTATCACAGAATATGTAGGTATGATAGAAGCTAATACAGAAGCCAAACAGTGGGTATCACAGAATATGTAGGTATGATAGAAGCTAATACAGAAGCCAAACAGTGGGTATCACAGAATATGTAGGTATGATAGAAGCTAATACAGAAGCCAAACAGTGGGTAACACAGAATATGTAGAAAGGATAGAAGCTAATACAGAAGCCAAACAGTGGGTACCACAGAATATGTAGGTATGATAGAAGCTAATACAGAAGTCAAACAGTGGGTACCACAGAATATGTAGGTATGATAGAAGCTAATACAGAAGTCAGACAGTGGGTACCACAGAATATGTAGGTATGATAGAAGCTAATACAGAAGTCAAACAGTGGGTATCACAGAATATGTAGGTATGATAGAAGCTAATACAGAAGTCAGACAGTGGGTAACACAGAATATGTAGAAAGGATAGAAGCTAATACAGAAGCCAAACAGTGGGTATCACAGAATATGTAGAAAGGATAGAAGCTAATACAGAAGTCAGACAGTGGGTACCACAGAATATGTAGGTATGATAGAAGCTAATACAGAAGCCAAACAGTGGGTAACACAGAATATGTAGGTATGATAGAAGCTAATACAGAAGTCAGACAGTGGGTAACACAGAATATGTAGGTATGATAGAAGCTAATACAGAAGCCAAACAGTGGGTATCACAGAATATGTAGGTATGATAGAAGCTAATACAGAAGTCAAACAGTGGGTATCACAGAATATGTAGGTATGATAGAAGCTAATACAGAAGTCAGACAGTGGGTAACACAGAATATGTAGAAAGGATAGAAGCTAATACAGAAGCCAAACAGTGGGTATCACAGAATATGTAGAAAGGATAGAAGCTAATACAGAAGTCAGACAGTGGGTACCACAGAATATGTAGGTATGATAGAAGCTAATACAGAAGCCAAACAGTGGGTAACACAGAATATGTAGGTATGATAGAAGCTAATACAGAAGTCAGACAGTGGGTAACACAGAATATGTAGGTATGATAGAAGCTAATACAGAAGCCAAACAGTGGGTATCACAGAATATGTAGGTATGATAGAAGCTAATACAGAAGTCAAACAGTGGGTAACACAGAATATGTAGAAAGGATAGAAGCTAATACAGAAGTCAAACAGTGGGTACCACAGAATATGTAGGTATGATAGAAGCTAATACAGAAGTCAAACAGTGGGTACCACAGAATATGTAGGTATGATAGAAGCTAATACAGAAGTCAAACAGTGGGTACCACAGAATATGTAGGTATGATAGAAGCTAATACAGAAGTCAGACAGTGGGTAACACAGAATATGTAGGTATGATAGAAGCTAATACAGAAGTCAGACAGTGGGTATCACAGAATATGTAGAAAGGATAGAAGCTAATACAGAAGTCAGACAGTGGGTAACACAGAATATGTAGGTATGATAGAAGCTAATACAGAAGTCAGACAGTGGGTAACACAGAATATGTAGGTATGATAGAAGCTAATACAGAAGTCAGACAGTGGGTACCACAAAATATGTAGGTATGATAGAAGCTAATACAGAAGTCAAACAGTGGGTAACACAGAATATGTAGAAAGGATAGAAGCTAATACAGAAGCCAAACAGTGGGTAACACAGAATATGTAGGTATGATAGAAGCTAATACAGAAGTCAGACAGTGGGTAACACAGAATATGTAGGTATGATAGAAGCTAATACAGAAGTCAGACAGTGGGTAACACAGAATATGTAGAAAGGATAGAAGCTAATACAGAAGCCAAACAGTGGGTAACACAGAATATGTAGGTATGATAGAAGCTAATACAGAAGTCAGACAGTGGGTAACACAGAATATGTAGGTATGATAGAAGCTAATACAGAAGCCAAACAGTGGGTATCACAGAATATGTAGGTATGATAGAAGCTAATACAGAAGTCAAACAGTGGGTAACACAGAATATGTAGAAAGGATAGAAGCTAATACAGAAGTCAGACAGTGGGTATCACAGAATATGTAGGTATGATAGAAGCTAATACAGAAGCCAAACAGTGGGTACCACAGAATATGTAGGTATGATAGAAGCTAATACAGAAGTCAGACAGTGGGTATCACAGAATATGTAGGTATGATAGAAGCTAATACAGAAGTCACAGTGGGTAACACAGAATATGTAGAAAGGATAGAAGCTAATACAGAAGTCAGACAGTGGGTATCACAGAATATGTAGGTATGATAGAAGCTAATACAGAAGCCAAACAGTGGGTACCACAGAATATGTAGGTATGATAGAAGCTAATACAGAAGTCAGACAGTGGGTATCACAGAATATGTAGGTATGATAGAAGCTAATACAGAAGTCAAACAGTGGGTAACATAGAATATGTAGAAAGGATAGAAGCTAATACAGAA